GCTAGGACAATAGTGATCTGACCTCGAGAGGGCAGCAGGCAGGCAGACATGTGCGGAACACACCAATTCGATACAGCATCCCCACTGCGCAAGAGCTGTCATTTGGGTCACCCACCACATCATCCACGTCCCTGTCAGATAACTCCTTTTCCTCCTCAGCATCTGGGAGCAGCTGAAAAGGCTTGTTGCTCCCTGAAAGCATAATTTCCCAGCGGATAGCGTCACCCAAGTCAAAGATGAGATCCTAGGCCATACAGAAGAAATCCACTTAACTACAGGGCAGTCTCAAGAGCCCTGACACTAAACTGAACGCTGCTCCCGCACATCTGCAGTGCCCACTTAACTACAGGGCAGTCTCAAGAGCCTGACACTAAACTGAACGCTGCTCCTGCACATCTGCAGTGGTCTGGACCTGGCTGGGTGTCAGACAGTTAAAGGACTCTAAACAGACTCTGGATCTCAATGAGATGGGCTCGTCAGACCCTTGGCTCGCTGGTGGGACCCCAAAGACTGCCTCTGTGCCTAGAGGGCTGCAGACCCCTTTCCTCATGGTGCTTCTGCCACAGGTGAGAGGAAGTTGCTGGAAATGCTTCTGCCTCCTTCCTCGGGGCATGCATGGCCCCAGGGTCATTCACATAGGCCTAAAGTTGCTCTAACTCAGACCCTTGCCTCCCAGACTTTCTATCACCTAGGGAGTAGCTGAGGTGTGGGAAGAGCCTAATCAAGCTCTTTCCTGCCTTAAGCCATGCTCAAAGGCTCAAAACATCCTCCGCCTTAAAAGCTGTTGTTTGACAGAATGAGTGTCCAGCCAGCCTTAAAAGCTGATATTCTAGCACTGTAGGGGTTTAATAGGTGTGATCCATATTTGCTAGCTCAGGGTCTGGGATGTCCTGGAGTAGTTCCAGAGTCTATGTAATCAGAGCAACAAGACCAGAGCCAACACAGGGAATGGTAAGTGGAAACTGGAATCACCACTAATCTTGGACTTCTCCAGGACTCAGGTTAGACCAACTGTCGCTCCCAGGCACAGGGGTGATTAAGGGCTTGTTACCTTGCAGCCGTTCCAGCAGTCCTGCATGTTCACCCAGTAGTTCCTGTGGTTCCAGACACTCTCGATCCCAAGGAAGTGCTCATCCTTGGTGCTGTGGCTGTTTCCCGTGAAGGGGTTGATGAAGAAGGTCTCGGGAACCTCCCTCTTCCCAGACAGAACCAAAACCCATGCATGCACCCGTAAGCCATACAAAGGGTCACGCTTGGGCTTTTCCAGTTCCTGTAGTGCAGAGGACAGAGCAGTAATTATTGCCATTTTATTGCCACTTTAGTCCAACCCAACAGCAATCTTATTCTCTCCTCTGCCCACTTCTAAAGATCTCCAGGCCTTAACACTCTTCAGAAGAGTAATGTAGTACATACCCAGTACATATTCCTGTGCCAGCACACGCTGTGTTCCCAGAGGCCAAGGGCTCATGGCCATGATCAGGGTTGTGTCTTACTTCATGGCAGAGGGTGGTGACCTCCTTTCTTTGGTCAGCCATTACCTGTGTCTCAGCTCTGGCTCCTGGAGTTTACAGGGAGGTGAGCCTCCCTAACTCACCGTGACCTCCTCTTCTCTTTCCTTGTTCTTCTGAGCAGCTTCAGTTTCTGCCTTCTTTGAAGCTCAAACTTGCTCTGCAGTTCTGGTGGGGGCTTAAGTCTATACTTGTTGGATGACTTCTTCATCTCCTCTTTTGGTACCTGCCTCCGCAAAAGCAGGGTATTGCTGTGAAACCCAGCTGAGATCAAGAGAAGGGAGAAAATGTACGTCTTACAGGTACCTCCCAGTTCCCAAACCTTAGCAGTTTGCAGTATTGGACCTCATGAGCAGGAATTCAGTGAAGCCAAAGAGGCCTCTTAAGGAACTGCAGAAAATCACTCAAAAGATCCCTTAGTGAGGTCCCTGCTTGGTACAGACTGAAACCCAGTGTGTACCTGAAGCTGTTTCCCCTAGCTCAACTCTGGAGCTCACTGGAAATGAACAGGGTGAGCATGCATGCTGGGCTCCTCCCTGCCCACTCACTGCAGGTCTCACCTCCTGTGGCTTCCTGAGCAGTGGGCACAGCTCCAGAGTCTCGTCCAGTGTGCATATCTCGCGGGTGGCATACCCGTGCACGCAGTAGGCATCATACCCGGCCCCAATCAGCATGGAGCACAGCAGCACGCTGAAGTCAAAGCAGTTCCCTCGCTGGTATTTCAGGATGGTGGTTGGGGAATAGAGCGAACTGGGCTTGAAAGAGAGAGATGCATGTTCTCAGTGCTTGTCTTGTGAAGTTGAAACACGCACCAGGCAGAGAGCAGGAGAGAGACAGGGCATTGCCTATATCCCTGGGCTCTGCACCCTTAGGGCATCTGTTATATAAAATTCCTATACAAGCCACAGACCCCAAAAGTCCCCTCCAAAGTGATCTGGGGAAATTCTGACCCCAACTCTGGTGACAGATTTAACCATAGGGAGAGATGGGCAGGACAAGCTTATCAAACTGCTGAAAACTTAATGCTAACCACAACTCTGGAGTGGGGCTCACCTCCATCTCTAGCTGGTCTGTCTGCAGCATTTCAAAGCAAAAGACCCATAAGCTAAATTATAGTTCAAAGGAGGGAACATATTCCCTTCTGGCCCTCATCGGTGAGCAAGCAAAGGGATCAATACGCACATACTGCATATAGAGAGGTTCTACATAGTCTGCTCCCAGATCTCAGACATCACCTTAGGTAATCAAGGCAGTCTCCGTCTGCTAAATGGACCACATTCTCTATGGTCTTAAAGTGCCAGAGTTCCTCTTGAGACCCTGGGGCTCCTGGGACACATTTGGCCAGCATGGAGCTGGTGCAGACTGTTTGGGGCACTCTGCAGGGCATCAGCAGTCCTTGCTAGCAAAGAGCGTGCTCCCTTTGCCTTAGCTGATTCACACCAGCCAAGAACTTGCCCCAACTCTGGCATCATCCCTTCTTGCCAGTCTAGAAATCTCCCTTCAGTCACCCCAAAATATCCCCCAAATTGGGACAGAAATGTCTAAAGCCCCTAAGAACAGGTCGCTGAGGTCAAGCATCATCCCCTAGGCTTTATATGTTCCAAGGCGTCTTGGTCTTTGGAGGGGAAGCTTGTCAGCCATTGCAACCCACAGCAGACCAGCTGGTCATCTGGGGTGACTGAGAGCAGGGTTAGGCCCAATCTTGTAGAAATGTGCTTAATTCCTTGACAGGTACAACACTGTACATGTACTGGGATTATGGGTCCAAACAGAGCACAGAGGGCCTGGAAAAACTGGGGGGTTGCCTAAGTAATGAGGGAATGATGGAGGGGTCAAAGACCCAGCCACTGGGGTTTCCACATTGTGTCCTGCTG